GTGTCTTATATGTTGCAGAATCCAAGTCACTTTGGTCAATGCTGGAGAGTACGGAGTGGTACAGTGATGCTAACTTTGGGCATGAGCTACTGCTGTTGGGGGAAAGGAGACTGGTGGTGATTGGAGAGTGCCTGTACTGGGAAGGTAAAACATTTGACTTGAATGACTTCTCTGAAAGATTTAGTGGAGCAACCATGACATTCGGCTGCGATAAAGCAAGTGAAGGCAGAGATCTGGTCTGTGAAGCCTGGGAAAATGAATTACTGGCTTGCTGTGAGGTTTGAATTAGGGAATAGTACAATGAACTTGGCTGAGATACTTGAAGTGGGGAAGAGATGGGTGTTCTGGACGGCTGTGGAAGGGGCTCAGATGGCAAGTTTACAGTCCACACTGGAGGAGCTTCAGAGGAAGTTGGTGTAGAGCTTTGAAATGGAAAGGATGAGATGCTTCTGGAAGATTGAAGTGTGTGTGATGAGCTATATATCTGAGAAATATGAGAGGATATTGCTGCGGCTGGGTGTGAGGGATGTCCTGGCTCAGAGACTGGAAGAGAGGATGAAGCATTAGCTTCTGAAGATTGATGCTGCAGATGTGGGTTTTGAACGTGAATATTAGGAACAGATGAGGGTAAAACACTGGTCTTGTGTGATGAGTTTGTATGCAAGGAGTCTTGGGATTGAGGTGTATGAGCTAAGTTGGCTGATGTGTGACCTTCTGATGAACTCTCATAGTTGACAGCTTGATAATTCTGAGCATCTTTTGGTAGTCTGACAGTTCCATAAGTGGAGGATTCAGTCTGCCCAAGTGAACCACAAACTTTATGCAGTGTTTGCGGAGGTGAAATGGTAGCAGAAGACACAACTTGACAACAGTCTACCAATCCTGAAGACACTGTGTTAGTCTCTGTTTGGGCAAGAACGACAGCTAAACTGGGGCCTGTGTTATTCACTGTGTGACGAAACAGATTGTCTGAATCAGATGGTGCCTCGACTGAATGAGAAATAATTTCAGATGCACATGACAATGTATTCTGAGGTTGAACAAGCTGATTAAGACCTTCCATGTCAGACAGCTGTGTTGTCACACTTTCAGGCTGCAGGGAGGACTCATAAATACCACTTTTCAAGCTCAATTCCGCTTGTTCACTTGTTGGGGTAACCTTCTGGTACATTTCCTGCATTTCCAGATCAATGACAGTGGACAGCACATTCTCTAATGTTCTAGCATCCCTCAGCTCTTTAAAGTCCTCGTCATTTGTTTTCAGTAGCAGTTCCGGCCTGAAGTCTGCCTTTCTCATGTCTTTCAGACTAAGAACAGCCATGTTCATATCTTCATCCTGTAACAAAGGAATATCATTCATGTCGACTGCATCCAGCTCATCATCATCCATTGGTTCGTTAGCATCTGATACTGGCTCAGAATTAACCTCAGTGGCCACTTTACTCATGACGTCCACATTTTCCGAAGGAGTGAACACTTCAAAGTCTCCATGAATACGCTTTATCAGAGCCGATTCCTTAGCGGTGTCTCTAATATTCAGCGACTGTGGTACCAGCGGAATTCTGGCATTTTTTTCGCCAACCCCCTGAAAAGATGAATTCACATCAGAATGTGCCGAACCAAATGCAGCTCTTTTAACCGCCGGTGAAGACAGATGCGGGTTCCCTTCTTTCTCTGCTCGCCCTGGTGGTGTGGGTTGTTTGTCCTCAGCAGCATTTTCACCAAGAAATGCCAGATGATCCAAAAAGAAATAGTCTCTGAGATCAACTTCAAGTGCCAAGCTCTAAAATTTGAAAAAAAAGAAAAACAGTTGCTTGTCAAAAATAGAGTTTTTTTTTTTTTTTAAATGACATAAAGTGTTTTCAGTAATACAACTAATTTAACAGAAAGAACTTTCCTTTAGCCGTTCAGCCGATTTAATAGAAAGAACCTTTTTTCTTTTTTTTTTTCAAGTCATTCAGCTGATCGAAAGACCCTTTTTTTTCAGTATTCAGCTGATATAAAAGAAAGAACATTTTTTTTCCAGTCATTAATCTGATATAACAGAACCTTTTTTCAGTAATTCAGCAGATATAACAGAATGAATCCCTTTTCAGTCATTCGGCTTACATAACAGAAAGAACCTTTTTTTTTCAGATTCAGCAGATATAATAGAAAGAACCTTTTTTTCAGATTCAGCAGATATAACAGAAAGAATCCCTTTTCAGTCATTTAGCAGATATAACAGAAAGAGCCTTTTTTCAGTCATTCAGATTACATAACAGAAAGAACCTTTCTTCAGTCATTCAGATTCCCTAACAGAAAGAACCTTTCTTCAGTCATTCAGATTACATAACAGAAAGAACCTTTCTTCAGTCATTCAGATTAGGTAACAGAAAGAACCTTTGTTCAGTCATTCAGCTGATGCAACAGAAAAAAAAAACTTTATTTAAAAGTTACTGTTAACAAAATGAGCTTTTCTTCCTTAATCAACTACCTCATTGTCTCCTATATTAGACTGAGTTATAAAAGTTACGAAGAGAACAGGACAATCAAATCTCAAATTACTATGTTGCTAGTATACGTTAAATATTATAATTTCAGTTTTTGGCATCATCTACTGTCAGACTGCATTTTACAATACTGTTAGATAATACTGGTGTTATCATTCAGTATATCTATATTACTTCAATATTTTCAATCACTGAACTCTTTATCCCATATTTATTCAGCAAGTCATCATTGAGGATCAACTTTTGTCCATGTGTAACCAGCAATGCATCTTCTTCTTCTTTTGTCATCACACTGTTACCAGGTTGTAACCAAGTGTCACGGTTTTCTGTTTTTGTCTTGCGCTTTACTGATCACTGAGTCATGGATTTGTTCAACTTTTTGCAGGTTTCATCTACACCATTTATCCATTTCTTTCTTGGTCTTCCTCTCGCCTTACTCCCAGTTGTTCTACTGTAAATAGTTTCCTATGTAGTCTGGTCTGGCTGCATTCTCACGAGATGGCCGAACCATTTCATTGTTTGTTTTTCAAACTAATCCAGACATGGTCTTATTCCAACTTTCTCTCAAATTATGGTAAAGTGTTGTTAGTGACCTTGCAGAGACAGCGTATTTTACATGTAGTTATTGTCTATTCCAGGGCCCTATCCACTGCCCATGTTTGGCACTGATAAAAAAAAGTAGGGATAAAGATGCCTTTGACTGATTTGCTGGAAGGGAGACATTTGGGTGTCTAAGCAGTGGGGCTAACTGGTAGGTGACAGCATTTGCCTTCTGTACTCTAGCCTCTATCTCTCTGCCATATTTGAATTCTCATACTTGTTTGATTGTAGTACCGTTAACATGAACGTTCAATACATGATGAGTTATATCTTTAATGTTTTGACAACATACTACTTAAAAAACCTGGCTAGATATTTTTTAATGTGTACCAGTCCATCTCACCAGCTTTGAATGGGTACCAAGTATAGTCCTGGGAAGTAAAGGGGGCTGGCGAGATGCTGACCACATCACCCACCAAGTGTTATTTGGTCTATAAAATATAGGTCTAGCCCTATATTTCCATAAGCCTGAAAGGTGGGGAAAAGGGTCCTTTACTTTACTTTACTTTACCACTCCATCTGTTAGCCTTTTATATCCTGTTGAACCAGCAACTCACAATATTTTTTCAAACATTAAAAAAAAAAAAAAAGGCTTTTTAACAGACCAACGTCATGTCACTCTCACAATTTAATCTGTGTAGTGTTTTGATTTTTAATTGAAGCATTGTAAATCTGCTCTCACAGAGATATGTAGAAACAAAAGGTCATCAAAGTCTTTTATGAACAATTCAAATTTGAACTGTGCAACATTTGATGCTTCTAGCTTCATTATTCTGAGAGAAAAGAATGTGGTGCTTTACTTTCTGAATGCTTTTTACAACAGTTAAACATTCTATGTTTTTTACAACTTAGTGACCTTCAAAGACCCATTTGTGGGTCACAGCTCACAGGTTGAGAACCTGTGTGTTAAAGAACAAATCTTTAACCAACTCAAACAATTTGAAGACAACTTCACGACTGTTTGGATTTTGCCACTTGTTGTCTACGGGATAAAGTAGCCAGTTCACACCAACCCTCATCAGCTGACTGTTACAACAAACATGGCAGGTTACACTGTTAAAACCCTTTGCATCCCAACTACCATCATCATATAGCATGTCCTTGGCAGAACATCGCTAGCTCTCCCACCTCATGCCCTTTCCTACCCAAAGTGTCACTTCTATCTTGTGCCCATCTTCGTGCTCATCAGCTCGTGCTCCTCTTTAACAGTACCACACCTTCTGCTACTATTCTTTCCCAACTACCACATGGGTAATATATTTTATTTAAAGTGTACAACCCATTTTTTTTTTATATATATAGAATATTCTGTGCAATCTTTTCCTTGTCAAGTGAGAGGAGAAACAGAATTCTTAAAAGCTTTATAAACCCTGTCTTGATTTACATAAGTAAATCATGAATTGTTGGCCAATTAGTGAAAAATTTTGTGAAAGCTGCACAAATATGATTTAACAGACGAATGATGAGAACACCCCAGACAGAGATTTTTTAAAGTAATGAAGAGTTTTTATAGAAAATGACTCATGAAGAGAACTGATTGCCCCCACCAGAAATAGACAATGTACATTCTGTGGTCATGTCATGAGAAAACTGGAGTACATTGTGACTGTGGGACAGCTAGAGGAGAAAAGAGTCAGAAGGAGACAAAGAGAGGAGAGGCATCATCTGTGTCAGAACTGACCGAAGGTACATGAGATAGAAGGTTGTAGCTACAAATGCCTACCAATGATCTCATGGAACAGACTATAAGAAGGAAGTGTATAAATGTGTTTTTTTTCCTTGATAGTAACAAACTGTTCTTTGTTGTATTAGGGTGATTTTTCTCCTGGGCATCTGCTGCACGATCTTCTAGGTCTGAAAGTGTTAATCAAACATCGAACAAACAGGATCAGATTTGTTGGAACGTACTTTAGGAGGGTTGCTGTTAACTGCAAAGTCATACAAATCAATCAGCTGCTCCCCAACATTTTTCCATCTGCAAGAGAGATGGGAAATCAATAATATAACGAGGTAAACAACAGAATACATCAATGTTTCTTTACATTTTTTTTTCAACCACCCAAAATTACAATCTATATAAATAAAAATGTAAATGTTCCTTTTGTTATTAATAGCAAATCTCCTAAAGTTCTTCACTGATTGCTTTCACATTGTGACACAACTTTGCATTAGAATATGCACATGTTTTTATATAAGTGTGTCACACAAAGCCCAAACTACATATCTCTAGCGGCAATCACATCAGTTTTTGTTTCATTGTCGCATTTTCAGCACAGGTTTTTAATTCCGCTGGTAGGCAAACTTTGACTGTTGACCTCAGAAATCTGTGTGAAGCTGTGTGCCGACAGTTCTTCACCGACTGCTTTCACATTTTGACAATTTTGTTTGTTTGCCGCATTCCCAGCGTGGGTTGTAGGCAAACTTGTGACCTCAGAAATCTGCATGAGGATGTATGAGATAATAAATGATGTGGTAAATATTAAACTGGCCATATTCACTTCTCATTACAATTCATGCTACACATTTTAGTCTGGGCTTGTGGCGCGGTAATTTATGTCACAGGCGTGAGGGGAAGTTAAGTCCAACATGATGTGTATAAGGAGATACTCTCCGTACATCACTCGGGCGCCAGTCCTTCACTATCCTGGTTGTACGGAACCTCACGCAAGACCCCTGCAGCACGTCCTCGTCGTGCGCCACGGATAATGTCTCAAATGAGCATTAACAGAGCTGTCAGGGGATCTCGGAGTTTGGCAGCCCCCAGAGGTGATGTGTCCTTGTGGCTCTCATCAGCCCGCCACCAAACGCTTGGGTTAAAAAGGTTATCAAAACTCATTAGGAACATGAGTATGTTTGCCAAACGTACAGCTAAAATTACAACCCTTGGTTAAAAGACTACGGAGTGAAGAGAACATTGTTCAATGTACATCCTCTGTTAACCCTCAGTGTCGTCGTCACCTTGCTGAGGTACACCACAACAGCAAACATCCATAGGCTGGCCATCCATGTACATCCTCGGTTAACCCTCAGTGTCGTCGTCACCGCACTGAGGTACACCACAACAGCAACCATCCATAGGCTTGCCATCCATGTACATCCTTGGTTAACCCTCAGTGTCGTTGTCACAGCGCCGAGGTACGCCAAGACAGCAACCATCCATCGGATGGCTAAGCCTAAATGTTCGACAAATCTAGATCCTACGGCGCACAAGCAAGCTCAAAATCTGACCATCACAATTTGTATTGAACGGAAAAAGACCAAATGTCCACACCCAAAGACCCAACTCGCCCGAGTGTTGGGACCAAATTGATAACGATATGCCTGACGCAGGATGTAAAATTCTGTCGGGCTAACAGCTCGTCAAAGAAATCTAACGTGCGAGGGAAAAAAAAGGGAAAAAAAATGTACCCATTCGTGTGGTCACAAAAGTCCAAAACCAACGGGCTGCTCCCCGCTGACCTCCAGAGGGCGCAGCCCTTGTCGAGCGGGAGGCCTAATACGGTTGTGAGGTTAAGCAGGCATGTGCAGGACGTGATGATTCCTTGGGTGAGCCCAGAACCAGAGCGCCATGTGCCGGCTCTGCATACATGGAAGGCTCCTTGGATGGCGGGGAATGCCCATGATCTGCCCCTGCCTTCCCTTGAGGGCTAACCGTTCCACAGGGGGCTGCCCCAAAGGGGTACTCCGGGGGCAATACCTACGGAGAAGGAGACAAAGTGGACACCACACAAATGAGGCAACGTCTTGACCCACACAAAAGAATGGCCACAGTCAACCTAGAAATAGGCCTGACGTCTTCCTTCGAAGTCGGAGTACAGCTGCCCATGAGGCAGGGAACAGTAAAACGGTTGTACACGCAAAAATCAGGTCCAGGTGAAAGCCAAAAGTCCAAGCGGACGATTAACCGGGACCTTCCGCCGGAATTCACAGCCGGTGATCGATTAAAAAAAAAAGTCTGGGCAGACACGGATAACTGTAACCAACTCCTCATGGGAACAATCAGTAGAGGAACCTTGGAGTGGCTGCTGCATCGGAAAACTGAGCACGCATGGGGAAGCCCAATGTGCAAAAACGATTGTGATAACATAACATAATGGACTCCAAGGTCAATTTTTTTTTAAAAGCTATAATCAGGTGCTGAATTTCACATCCTTTAGAGAGGGAGGGAGAAGTAGTCATTGCATTGGAGGGAGGGGTGATGACAGACACTGTTAACCTTGTTAAATTTAAGGAGCTGGGATAACACATCAGATAGAGTGTGCTAATGTAACAACAGCATCGGACACAAGAAATTAGGAAAAGGCAAAGCTGGTAAGAAGGTAAAATTAAAACACATGGAGAGCCACCTGACAGGGAAAGAGTTAATAGCAGACTTCATATACTTACGTAAAGGGAGTCAGTGGTTTTCTAAATGTTAACGGTTGATGCTCCTTTTCTTGATGCTCTAGAATCATCTGACGTCTCGTGGCTCTAAATTTCAAGGCTTCATTGATGTACTGAGAGAAAATACAATTCTATACTTGAATACTGCATTCTAGGAAACAAAAAACTAAATCCTGTTGAATGTTGAATTAAGAATTGACATCATGGCACTCGGGAAACTCCCATAAGTGCTCCATCGCAATCTTCAGCAGCAAGTGAAGGGTTTCAATTCCAATGGCACCAGTAGCTGTCTGATTGCATATCCATCTCACCTTTCCCTCAAGTGTTCAGCGTCTAATTATCTATCTGTGCCTAATCACTGTTCACCCGCTCCCAAAGGGCCCTTACAACATCTAGCTTGTCATATCTAAAATTTACCACCAAGTGGTGCAGAACCAGCCAGTCTATCTGCTTGCTCATTTCCCAACACACCTGCACAACCTGGAGACAACATCCAAAGGATGCAAACTACCCAGGACTTCTAAAGTGATGTTTGCCACTCTGCATGAAGCATGCATGTCTCCACCTTTCTCAACATGCTCTGTGAGTCAGTTACAATCATGACATGTGTGTACAGCTGTGAATTCTGTGAACATGTAATAATGTTTAATTACATCTGGAACCATCAAGGTATTAGGTTTACCTGCTAATTAGGGGTTCCCTGCTCTGGGTTTGACAAAAACTTAAAAAAAAACTTTTTTTTCTATAATTAAGGCACTAAAAAGACAAATAATTTTCACAATTTACTGGACACATGAGTGTAAATAATTCTCTTTACATAATGTATCTACAATTTTATATTATGAACTAATAAGGAAGTTTTGGGCCTTCAAAATTAATAGACATATAATTACACTGCATATGTGTGTTTTTGCAGTGAATATAAAAATAAAATGAATAATGAATATTTAATGAATTATGTAAGAATAAAAATTGTATCTCATGCCTCCAGTAAATGTTATGGTAAATTATTTTGCCCTTTTTTTTAGTGCATTTCATCATATTATGTTGACTCTTCAACTGAGAGACCGGAAATCACCCGCCAAAAACCACATGAATTAAAAACGGCACGCATCCAAATTTTGTGGGCTAATAACATGTTTTCTTTCTATATAAGAATATAATCTCTTTACATGTCTGATATGGGGTCCACACAGCACCTGAATGACCTTCTGCCCATGGGTTCTCAACCATACCCTCACATGCCGAGGCAGTTTCATTTAACACACAATCAGTTTTCAGGCTTTTTCACTGTCTTACTCTCAAGTATTTCCCATGCATTTCTGCCATCTAAGGTAAGAGAACATATTAACCTTGATTTTCCCTGGTGACTATTTTAATGTCACATGGTTCTTTATGGGTTTCCCATTGATGGGTCTAAAAGCTATGTTATTTCTGCCCTTTAGTCAACGCATCAAACTTCATGTGGTATTGTTTACTGGGCTCAGTTTCCCAGCTATTTCTATTGTAATGTATAGATTGTCAGGTCTTCCAAGCACTGAAAAGAACTTGCATGTGTCAGAGTAAGGCTGGTGTAGAGACTTTTCTCCTAAAATGGTACCAAAGTTGCATCTCCAAAGGAACTGTGTGCAGAGCTCTCCTTCAGATCTCTCTCTCTCTCTCTGAGTCAATAAATTAGCAGGGTGTGCATGACTAGCACCAGAACTTCCCAGTCTGTGAGAGGAAACATATTAAAATTTAACTAGGACTATCCAGGACTTGAGATCCAATACGGACATTCGACAAGAGACCAAGCAAGAAAATGTATCAAATTTTATAAGAAAGTACCATTGGAAGTACATCGGCTATGCACTCAGAATGGATTAGACAAGACTCCCCCATCAAGCACTCATGTGGATTCCGGAGGGAAAAAGAAAACGGGGAAGACCAAGAAAGACTCTGTGTAGAACCATCATCAGGGAAGGCTCAACAATGGGCCTAATGAATATCCAAGACTTAAATCAGGAGGCAACGAACCGCCAAACATGGAGAACTATGACCTCTGCCCTATGTGCCGCCTTAGGCACAAGAGGAAAGACTAACTAGCTAACTATTTAGGACTAGGTGGATGTTGGTAATTTCTTCCATATAATCAAAAGAGAAGCAGCATCTACAACAATTTTATTTCAGCAAACTGAGCACTTACAGGCCTGTCCCGAATACACTGTTATACATTTGTAATCATAATTATAATCAAACATGACCCACAAACCTCTTTGGTCTCCTCTGCATCCACAGCTAACATATGAATCTTGGGATCACTGCAATAAAGTAATTTCAAAGCAAATGCTGAAATGATACCTATGTTCAAATACTAGTTTATTTGGTGTATATTTTTTACAAGTGTATATGTATACTAACAAGAGCAATGTCTGCATAAAGTATCAAAGATTACCAAGATACTGTTACAACTAATAGGTAAAGTCAGCAAACAGAATCATAGAAAACCTATAATAATTAGGAAGTAAAAGCATGCAGATGTCCTCGGGGAAAAAAAGAAAAAAGAAAGAAAACAAATAAGAATCAACAAAACATGTACGAGAACACAAGGCAAACAGCATGATCACTTCACCACCTCAAAAAGAAACTCACAAAGTATATTGAGAGAAAAACAGATCTAAATCTGCTATACAGAAAATTTGTACTAATCATGAGTCACCCCATCTTGTTCAGGCGCAAGATTTTGTGGCCATTCCAATAGGATAATCATGTGTTCTAGGGGTGTTATGAGATGCCTTCCTTCCCCATCTATACATGCCGTGGCAAAAACTACCTCGCATTTGTTAAACCTCGGTTGAAACACTGTTTCCCAGATGAAACTGTGCAGCCTCCTAGTTGCAACTCTCTTATCTATGAACAACTGTCGTTTCTTGAATGTGTTGTTGTGAGTAGCTCAGGGGCCATAGGCGCCTGTGTACAAGAAAGAAGTACTGCAGGGGAAAGCACCAAAGATCAGATTCACCTGACACCCCAAGAACACAGGACAACCCATGGGAACGAATATGAAATCACCTAGCTAAGCAAGATAGGGTGAGATTCATGAATTGTACCAGATAATTTTAACTTCATACATGCAGTTCAATGTTTCCACTTCTTCTTCATGTTCACTGGCTGTGAACTCTGGTGGAAAGTTCTGCTTGTTCGCCCACTAGTGGAATTTGACTTTGCTCCGGGACGTGAATGTCTAGTTTGGTGCACATCAGTTTTACAGATCTGGCTTATATGTGTGCAGAATGTTAGCTTCTTGCCTCTCAGGCAGACTCACTCCGACTAAGAAGGATATGTCAATCCTATCTATGTTGGCCAGACTCCCAAATGGAAATCTGTTTCTATCATGGCCGTGGAGAAGTGTAGACAGGCAATGACCGGTATCAGCCTGGTACTGGTGCACCATCTGTATATCGCAATGTACTTATATGAGCCACCATCTGTGTATCTATATGAGCCACCATCTGTGTATCGCAATCTACTTATATGAGCCACCATCTGTGTATCGCAATGTATTTATATGAGCCACCATCTGTGTATCGCAATGTACTTATATGAGCCAGCATCTGTGTATCGCAATGTACTTATATGAGCCACCATCTGTGTATTGCAATGTACTTATATGAGCCACCATATGTGTATCTATATGAGCCACCATCTGTGTATCTATATGAGCCACCATCTGTGAATCTATATGAGCCACCATATGTGTATCCGTATGAGCCACCATCTGTGTATCTATATGAGCCACCATCTGTTTATCTAAATGAGCCACTATCTGTGTATCTATATGAGCCACCATCTGTGTACCTCAATGTACCTATATGAGCCACCATCTGTGTATCTCAATGTACCTATATGAGCCACCATCTGTGTATCTCAATGTACCTAAATGAGCAACCATCTGTGTATATCTATGTACTTATATGAGCCACCATCTGTGTATCTATATGAGCCACTATCTGTGTATCCATATGAGCCACCATCTGTGTATCTATATGAGCCACCATCTGTGTACCTCAATGTACCTATATGAGCCACCATCTCTGTATCTCAATTTACCTATATGAGCCACCATCTGTGTATCTAAATGAGCTACCATCTGTGTATCTCAATGTACTTATATAAGCCACCCTCTGTGTATCTATATGAGCCACCATCTGTGTATCTAAATGAGCAACCATCTGTGTATCTCTATGTACTTATATGAGCCACCATCTGTGTATCTATATGAGTCACCATCTGTGTATCTATATGAGCCACTATCTGTGTATCTATATGAGCCACCATCTGTGTATCTATATAAGCCACCATTTGTGTACCTCAATGTACCTATATGAGCCACCATATGTGTATCTCCATGTACCTATATGAGCCACCATCTGTGCATCTCAATGTACCTATATGAGCCACCATCTGTGTATCTATATGAGCCACCATCTGTGTATCTATTTGAGCCACCATCTGTGTATCTATATGAGCCACCATCTGTGTATCTCAATGTATCTATATAAGCCACCATCTGTGTATCCCAATGTACCTATATGAGCCACCATCTGTGTATCCCAATGTACCTAGATGAGCCACCATCAGTGTATTCCAGTGTACATATATGAGCCACAACATCTCCAGTAGAGGCATACATATTTTTTTATACGCCTAGTCTACTGTCAACCTTGTCCTACACAAGCACATAAAGGAAGCAATGAATGTACAAGTGGAAAAAGTAATGGACTCTTCTCCATATTTTAAGGCGTATTGGGCTGCTAGGCCACAATCAGCACTCGGTGAGTGATGTGGTCACTATCATGCCGTGAACAATTACTTCCCAGGACTTTACCTGGTACCCATTTAAGATTGGGTTGACCTGGTAGCCAAGGATATTTTTTTTTTAAAGTTCGGCACCATTGGCATTTGAACCCACGAACTCAGATCCAGCTGCTACACATAGGCAGCTCCCAATGCCATGTAACACTATAAATAAGGAGGGTGTGTGAGACTTGCTACCTCATCTCACACAAAATGTACTCTAGTAAGCATGAGACTTGCTACCTAATCCCACACAAAAAATGTAATATAGTAAGCTTAGGACTTGCTACCTCATCTCACAAAAATGTAATCTGGTAAGTGTGAGACTTGCTACCTCATCTCACAAAAATGTAATCTAGCAAGCATGAGTCTTGCTACCTCATCCCACACACAAAATGTAATCTGGTAAGTGTGAGACTTGCTATCTCATCCCACAAAGAATGTAATCTGGTAAACATGAGACTTGCTACCTCATCCCACAAAAATGTAATCTGGTAAGTGTGAGACTTGCTACCTCATTCCACACAAAATGTAATCTGGTAAGCATGAGACGTGCTACCTCATTCCACATAGAATGTAATCTGGTAAGTGTGAGACTTGCTACCTCATCCTACAAAGAATGTAATCTGGTAAGTGTGAGACTTGCTACCTCACCCCACACAAAAAATGTAATCTGGTAAGTGTGAGACTTGCTACCTCATCCCACAAAGAATGTAATCTGGTAAACGTGAGACTTGCTACCTCATCCCACACAAAAATGTAATCTGGTAAGCGTGAGACTTGCTACCTCGTCCCACACAAAAATGTAATCTGGTAAGTGTGAGACTTGCTACCTCATCCCACACAAAAATGTAATCTAGTAATCGTGAGACTTGCTAACTCATTCCATACAAAAATGTAATCTGGTAAGTGTGACACTTGTTACCTCATCCCACAAAGAATGTAATCTGGTAATTGTGAGACTTGCTACCTCATCCCACACAAAAATGTAATCTGGTAAACGTGAGACTTGCTACCTCATCCCACACAAAAATTTAATCTGGTAAGCGTGAGACTTGCTACCTCATCCCACATAAAAATGTAATCTGGGATGTATGAGACTTGCTTCCTCGTCCAATACAAAATGTAATCTGGTAAGCATGAGACTTGCTACCTCATCCCACATAAAAATGTAATCTGGTAAGCATGAGACTTGCTACCTCATCCCATACAAAAATGTAATCTGCAAAATCTAACCATACCTGAAGTGATCTCAAGGCTGACTAAGAAGATGGTGGAGAAACAATTTACAGGCAGACCTATAAATACCTGGAGTCATCAAAGAGAAACAGAATGCCAGAGTCAGAGAGATGAATGACGATAGGTGATAGCTGCAGCAATGAACCTGACAGGTTTAAAATGCTGGGGGGGGGGGAGGGGGGGGGGGAATCCAGCCAATCATGAACTAGTATATAGGATTTAGTGTGAGCTGGTTGAGAAAATATGTTTCACTGAGTGAGGAACAGCAGAAAAAGAGATTGACTGGATAAATTTCACAGAGTGATGGCCCAGAGATCAGATCTCGGACTGAGAAAGGAACCTTTGTTATTCTGAACTGTCTGATGGTTACGGTCTCTTGAAATTGTCAATGACATTCTGAGGACCATTTATGAACATATGCTGGCAGAGATATGAGATTAGATGATATAACTTGTGTAAGAATGTGTGAATGGGGATTCAGGTGTGGATCCCACAGGGAGGGACGTATAAGAGGAAGAGAACAATGTGTGTATAATCAGTGTGATTACAGTTAGCATTAACACCTTAAGACATGCCAGGATGTAAATTCTTCAATCAGTAAATTTCACATTCTATTATTTGCAAAATAAAAGTAACTTCATTACAAAATAACAAGTAAGAGATAATCATACCAATATATGAACAGTTCTTTGGTCAAACTCTCTAAAGACGGCTGTTCAGATAATATCTGCTTCCTGAAAGCCAGACCTTTTGGATAAGTGCAGTCTTTTTCAAGAGCAGTGCTGATGTTCTCTAAACATGCTGGAATGGGTACAACAATTATTTTCAAACAATATTTGAAGTCACTATTAACATTTCTTTATAACTGAAAATGGCAAATAACTAGAGAATGATGACAATACAAAGCAAAACAAGCCCCCAAAAAATTCACAAATTCTGCAGAATTAACTCTTTGTTGTTATGAAAACCATGTGATTACAACTTTTATTTTACAACATTCAATTTTAATTTGTTGCTGTTGCTTGTTAAAACCTTGATAGACCTTAAGTCCTCAACCAGTTATGAGCTGGGTTATCTTCACAGTCCTCTATAGGCGTTCCATAGGTGCTCATTCTCCCCATTTAACATATACATCAATGTCCTGCAGTTTATAGTGCCAGTTCTGCACTGGTTGACAATACTTCTCACATGCCGATATGCCTGGCTGTGCGGATCTATACTCCAAATTCTCGCATTCTTAGCAGTGTTGCTGATGTGCGGTTCCCCAAATTCTCTGTCCTATCTGTCTAAAGGCATTAACAATGCTGCGTGTGATCCCCAGGCCGGCCATCTGCGACTAAGGCAGAACTGGCCAATATAACAACCATTGCCAAAAACCATTTGCCATATACACAGCAGCAGTATTTTCTGTGTCCACCAGTGTGTGCAGAGGGAGCATTATATTATCTGACTCTCCGTAGATACAACATAGAGGATTCACTTGTAATAATAAACTGGACCTGTGACATATCTGCAGAGCATACTGTGAACGCTCATGCACTATTTTCCCCTTGTACAATGGACCTGTCTGTGTAGATCAGCAGACCTGCCTCATCAGAACTGTCATTGATAAGCGCATGGGTCTCTGAGGTGATGGCAAAAGAATTCTGCTCCTGACAACTCGTATCAAGCGTGACAACATAGGAGAAGGTGTAACTGAGCGCCTGAGGCACAGATACCACATTTTTAGATTGTCTGCAAGACTACAGGCCTGCTTGATATCATCTTCTGCCCTACCCAGCCATGATTTACTTCTTAATCAATTTGCATCTTATCTGTCCCTTGCCATTGCATGCAGATCACTTACCATTTTTCCTCTTGACACCCAGGGAAATTGCAAGACGGATATACAATCAGACAATTACTGGTACCATCGGAATTGGAACTCTTCGAAGATGGGGACGGAGCGCTTATGGGGGTTCCCAGGTGCTGTGATGTCGATTCTTGATTCAACATTCAGCATTTCTCTCTTCTGTGTTTCTCTCTTTTTAGGCCCTTTGAGTTATAGAGTAAGGTCCAATTCTTAGCGCTCTTTCTTTGAAGTCGGAGTGTATCTGCCTGAGTGGCAAGGAACCAACAGTCTGCATGCAAATAAGTCACATCTGTGCATGCAACACTCAGTTTCTGGAAACTAGAGTTGGAAGAAAAAACCAAAGCCTCTCACTACAGCTGCTGAACATGGAAGAAGAAGACTACTTAAGATCAATGCGTATACTATTACCTCTTATTTTCTAAAAATCTAAACAGTGTACATCATAAGAAGAAACAGGTCTGCTGGAGCCACAGGCTGACATCACAAACATTTATCTACTTTTCCCCACAGCACAGAAACCTGTAAAGTTCGGTCATGTACAGATTAGGAGATCAGCTTTTATTACTTGGTAAAGAATGAACTGATCCATCTGTAAATAATTGTTTGCAGGAAAACAATAAAACAACTCAGACACACATGCAGATTTCACTTGGATCATGACTAAACATATTAGTCACAACAAAGACCACAGCTGACATACTTAAGTAATCTCCCAAAGCAAAAGTCACAGTAATAGCATTGTCCAGACTTGGCCAGTGATTGGGGTTACACTGCAGAGCCTGAATGGAATATATGAAATCAATGTTCCAGCTCAAAATATATAAAAGCATTTACAGTTACAAAGGAGGCAAAGGTTATCTTTACACACAAAACTTGCTAATGCAGGCAACGAATGCCAAAAATAAGTCTGACGTGCTGATAAAATGGCACACATATCGTAGCTCTGCTGTTCGAGCTGCATTGACCTGAGCTAAGACTGATGTCACAGAACTCAGGAAATTCCCATAAGTGCTCCATTGTCATATTCAGCAGCCAGCAAAGAGATCAAATTATGATGGCGCCAGCAGCAGTTTTATTATATATATCTTCTTGCCTTTCTTCTGAGTGTCAACCAGGTCCCTGGTCACTCCTACGTGTACCTTTCTCTCCAGACCATAATGGTATATTTGTGCTTGTGCATTGTTCTCCTTCTCCCAAAGGACCCTAACCATATCTAGCTTGTCATGCATCAATTCATTGCCCAGTGGTGCAGAACCAGTCAATCTGTCTGTCTGATTATTTCCTAGCACATCTGAAGGTAAAAATCATCTCAACATGGATTCGACCCAAGACCTCTGGGCTGACAGTTAAGTATTTAGCTACTGCACCTCCAAGTTGAGTTGAGTTAAGAACTGATATCACAGCACCTGAGACACTCCCATAGACGCTCAATCTTCATCTTCAGCATCCTGCACATAGATCAGATTCCAAGGGTACCAGCAGCAGTCTGACTGTATGACAGTCTTGCCTTCCCAGTGAGTGCAAAGCGTCACCCAGATCCCCTAATCACTCCCTGCTGCACTATTCTATGAAGATCCTAGTGATCTATTTGTGCTTCTGCACTGTTCACTCGCTCTCAAAGAGCCTTGATCACATCTAGCTTATCATGTAGCAATATACCACCAAGTGGTGCACAGCCAGCTAATCTATCCACCGATTCATTTTCCAACACATCTGCCTGCCTTGGAGAAAAAGATCCCAAGGACTACTGCAGCTCCCAAAAAGAAAAAAACAACCATTACAGCTATATTATGGTAAGAGAAGGAGTAAAAAGTCTTTTTCTTTGACTCAAAAATTGCTCAGATTGGCACACACAGAAACAATCATTACAGCTATATTATATTATAGCAAGAAAAGAGTTAAAAAGTATTTTTCTTTGACCCCAAAAAAGGCTCAGATTGGCACACAGAGAAACAATCATTACAGCTATATTATAGTAAGAGAAGAGTTAAAAAGTATTTTTCTTTGACCCAAAAAATGCTCAGATTGGCACACACAGAAACAATCATTACAGCTATATTATATTATAGCAAGAAAAGAGTTAAAAAGTATTTTTCTTTGACCAAAAAAAAGGCTCAGATTAGCACACACAGAAACAATCATTACAGCTATATTATATTATAGTAAGAGAAGAGTTAAAACATTTTTTCTTTGACCAAAAAATGCTCAGATTGGCACACACAGAAACAATCATTATAGCTATATTATATTATAGTAAAAGAAAAGTTTGAAATTTTTTTCTTTGACCAAAAAATGCTTAGATGGGCACAAACAGAAACTATCATTACAGCTAAATTATATTATAATAAGAGAAGAGTTAAAAAGTCTTTTTCTTTGACCCAAAAAATGATTAGATTGGCATTCACAGAAACCTACCTACGGAAAATCACTGCACTCACCTGCTGGAAACAAATTTTTGCCAGAGGGTAATTGTGTAACTCTTTAGCCACCTGTCCCATTTTAAACCAAACAGTCACTTCAGAGGAATCTACCTTCACAGCCTGTATTAATACAATATGACAGTTTCATTAACAGAAATTAAAACTAATAGCAAACTTACAATCTTTAATTCTTATGTCAAATAAGTAATGCTGTATGCAGTGGAAACATGCAGAACAACCAAGGCAATTACTAATAAACCTACATTCATTCATTAACTGGTGCCTGGGTGAATGAGAAGACAGTAAAAGAAGAAAGGCATTCAGTTTACTTCTAACACAATGACAGAGATAGCAGCTGTCAAAGGGGCACTTGCATGACAGACGGAACAGAAAGCAACACACTCATTGATAGTGACTAACTCAATGAGCATGCTTAAGAAGATCCAAACTGGCAAACTCTGACTAGAATGGGCTGAGAGCATTCAAAAGTCCTTCCTCAAGAAAGTATACCTTGGCTGTACACACTGGGATAGACCAGGGTGGAAAAAAAAGAAAAGAGTCAACAGATTGACAGCGTCTGCAGTGGCTAGTGAAGGAAGAAGTATGGACAGGGGCAGACATACTGATGTTGAGACGAAGGAGGTAGAGATGATGAATTGCCTGTTGAAAATGGGTATTAAACAAGGCAAGCATGCAGACATGATTTGGTGGGGTGGGGGAAGGGTGCGGCAAAGAAAGCAAATTTGTGAATCAACTTCTACTGGATACATTCAGCATGGAGACAGTGAGATGGCTGCTGTATCAGACGAAGGAGCACGAGTGGGTCGGACCAGTGTTCTTCTTCTTCTTCTTTTTGTGTTTGCTTTCTGATTTACACTGACAGACAAGTTCTTGTGATAAACTTGACTGTTTTTAGGAGTTACCTTTTAGTTCCATACCAATATACTAGGATGCTGATATGGATAACAAGTAACAAGTTCAAGTATTTGGTTAAAAACCCCATATTTTTATGACTGCAAATGACTGGAGGTAGGTTAGGAGCTGAAAGTCTGATAAAAGCACATTAAATACATGCTACGGTAATAATGGTTCAGACATTCCATGCTCTAATAACTGTGGAAGACTTTTTCTTAACTTGAGCAAGTCTTGCTAGTCACACTCACCATCACCAAGGGTTGTGATTCCTATGCCTTCCTATAGCACAGTGTTACACTATCGTACTGAAAGACAGAAAGGTGCCAACATATTTTTATAGACCAGTGTTTCCCAAACTTGTCTTAGTTGCGGCCCCCTTTTTTTAATTAAAATTTGTCCACGGCGTTCCTGTGAAGAGGTCGCGGCTCCCAGGTGCACTGCAGAGCAGTTTGGGAATCATTATAGACCATTCAGTACTTAATGGGTGATGACCTGTACTGTGCCAGCTGCATTACTTCCCAGGACATCTAGGTGTACCCATTCTTGGTTGGAATAAACTGGGAGCAAAATAACTTTTTTTTTCAATCCGCCTTGATTGGAATTATAACATATGATCGCTGGGCTGACAGACAATTGTGGTTTTGTTAAATGTGGGCCGAAACGTTTGTCGACGAGAGATTACTTCTACTGACGATTGGTAGATCCCTGCTGTACATGCTCCCCTGTGGAGTTTCTTCTTATTCTTATTGTTGTTGATTTTCGTCCATTACAAGTAATCAAACCACTATTTATTTTATCTATCAAGAAACATTAGTTACATGTCTGTGAGTCTAGAGGTGACTTATAAGCCAGAAGGATCTAGGATAATGAGGAAAAGCAACAGCATCTGTAGATGCTATAAGGGCTGCCATACGGGTCTTTCTAATGTTCAGCTGCCTTTGTTTCTAGATGCCTTGCAAGTGGCTGCACCTCTTCAGGCAGACGTTTGTCATGTCTTGTGCAGCAGCCTCCCAAGTATCATGGTTTATACTGAAGGCTTTAAGTGATACTTTCAGCATGTCCTTGAAGCTTTATGTTTCTGGCCACTGTCAGAGCATTCTTCTATAAAAGATCTTTTTTGGTAGCCGATGGTCTTGCCTTAAAATGGGTACCAGGATGTATGTCCTGGGGAAGTAAAGGCGGCCAGCGTAATACCAACGGCATTACCCAACTAGTGCTGATTAGTCTGTAAAAATATGGGTGCTCTTCCCATATGCCCGATGCACCTAAGGCGTAAAAAAGGATCTTTACTTTACTAAAGGGATGAATTTGCATGCGGACGGGGTAATTAAATGCAACCCAATTAATCTATGACACTGGTAATGCCAGCTCTATCAAATACAACAATATCAACAGTAATATATCATTTCAAAATTAAGGAAGATGTACATGTTCTATCTCACACACTTGTCACACCATCACATGCCAGGTCAATAAGTATAACTAGTTATAGTTCATCACTACAAACATTCACCAGAATCTCAGATCAAGTCTGTGTTCTGTCTCACCCTTCTATGTGCCAATAAGGTATTTACTGATTTGTCTTCCTCTTGCTCGTTTCCCACATTTGTCAGTTATTCATCATCATCCTGTGTGCCATTATGTGTCACATAGGCACATAGGGCTCAGTCTATTCCTCCATTCTCTTCTATCCTATGCAGTCCTTTCGATATTATGGATGTAATTCAGTCCAGCACCGTTGGCCTCTCTCATCATTTGTATTAGTGATTATTTTGGATGTCCACACTGCCTGGTGATTCTTTGCTTTTATTTTCAGGATGTGTCCAATATAGCACCAACTTCTTTGTCTTACAACTGTTCCTATCATTGGTTACCAGACATTTCTCTTTTTTCTTCATCCCCTTTGATTTGATCCCATTTTATGTTCAGCATTTTCCTCAGGCATATGTTTTCAAATGCATTTCATTTTTTTTTTCCATGTCTTAGTGGTTCCCCACATTTGTCAATTATTACCGTGTTTATTTCTCCGAATACCACACCCAAACAATCTTGACTGACTATGTCTACTTCCTCTAATAAGTTTACAGTTTACATGTTTTTCTTAAGGTCACTACATTTATTTATCTGTCTGTCCACATAACTCTCTGCAATCTCTCTGAAGACCACTTTCCACAGAGATTTGATGTTCCTCATTACCACATTGGTCAAGGGCTCCATTTTTGTGGCAGAAATGGAATAGACCCACCATGCAACGCTAATAAACAAGTCGTAGAAAGTGACTAATTAGAGGTGTATTTTTTAAATGGATGTGTGCTGGGCCAAAAGTTGCAGATATCACAGCTTTGCTGTAAGACACAATACAACGTGCAAAGTACCCTTTTAAAGGCGAATACAGGGGAAACAGAATATGTCCCTCAGCATATCTGCTTATTGTTCAACTTTCCCTAGGCTAAAACAATACAGGTTCTATATAGCGCTTAGATTCTCTTTCTGCTATTGAATCCTTTCATTTGTATGTTAGTAAGTAAAGTGAAGAACCCTTTTCACGCCATTAAGCGTATCGGGTATATGGGAAGAGCACCCATATTTTTACAGACCATCTGCACTTGGGTAATGTGGTCTGCATTATGCCGGCCGTCTTTACTTCCCCAGGACAGTCATCCTGGTACCTATTTAATGCTGGGTTGACCTGCGATGCCCTTTACCATGATAAAAATCCACGCAGCCAGCAGTGGATTTCAATGGCGGTACGTTGGAATTACCAGTCGGACTCACAATGCCTAATGTGAGTATGTTACCTATCTTGCAAAAGACTTCTACTTTTGCCATGACAGTTCTCATTCTAATTCTCTACAAGTCATCACCCTTTATTACCATCAATAAATCATAAAGAAGTAATACTGAAAACAAAAAAATATATACTTCAATATAAGCAGCTATTGCTTCTTGGAGCTGACCCCTCTGCAAAAGAATGGATGCCAGGTTCTTATGGATGGAGTACAGCAGGTGAAGGCCGGGGTGGTTGAGTGTCTGTGGTTGATAGTCATCGCCGCCAACTAGATTAGATGCCTAAGAAGGAAAAAATTTTTTTGATATTCAAAAGCTAAAACAATACAAAACAGAACAGTGAATAATTTATTTAAATGCTTCAACTACATATTCAATTCCCCACCCGCCTCAACTAGATGATCTAAAAAAAAAAATTGATCAAGTAGTTCTGGTAATCCGGTAAACTAAGATTACCAGAACTACATGATCAATTTTTTTCTCCCTTTTCCTCTCCCTCTGTGTGTGTGAGTGTATGTATGTGCATGCATCCATGTCTCTTGTTGTGTGAGTATGTATAAATATCACCTTCTAAAGTTCAGCCCATCTTACAGTGATAAACAAAAAGATTTATAATTCAACTTCACTCCACCAAAATCTGAATGAGCAAGAATATCATCTTCTTCTTCTGCCCTATATCCCTCAATGGAGCACAAGCCCTCATCCAAATAACTCTTCCTGTTGCTATCACGTACAGCTCACCCTTTGTCCTCCCAGCCCTTTTGATTTCACTTTCTAATTCCCTTCTCCATGTGTTTTTGTGTGTGTGTTTTTTTTTGGGGGGGGAGGGGTCTGTCTTTACTTCTTCGATCCTGTGGGTAATTTCTTTGATCCTGTGGGTTATGGTGCAAGGACATTCTGGTTATGCTATTGTCAGGTTTTCTAAATGTTTGCCCTCTTCAATGCAAGCATCTTTTCCTCAGCTCTTTGATTCACTTGAATTAGTTTAGCACTCTCCCGAAGTTCTACACTGCTGATTATGTCATACCATTTAATTTCCTATATTCCATGCAGGCAACAAAGAGGAATAACCATTAAAACTAACCACAACTTTTTTTGCAGACACAAATGCTGAGATCTGAATGCAAATATGTAAGAATATGAAAGTTGCATTCATGCCAGTAACTGTCACATTTTCAGGTGAAGCCTATTTATTTTTTTAGACAGACAAATGTGGCAACAAACAACATCATCCTATTAAGAACTGAATAAATGAAAATTGTATTAACCTAAACCTATAACTTTTATTAGAGACATTAACATGGAGGTCTGAGTGTAAACAAGGATGAGTAGAAAGATAACCTGGCCCTAAGATGCAGTTAATTCGGTATCGCTGTCCATTACAAATTCTGCAGAAGATGCCAAACTGGCATTGCTGCAATGGTCAGTCTGGGACAAGCCTAGTTAACAGCATTGCTACTGTTTGCACTTGTGCAGTGTTTAGGAGGCTCAGATATTTTTATATTTACTTTTGTTTTTAATGTAAACTCAAATTTTGTATTCTTATGTCAAATCAATACTGCTGTATGGGGCTGAAACATAGAGAACAAGTAAGGCAATTACTAATAAACTACAAACATTCATCAACTGGTGCCTGCGCAGAATAGAGGGAATTAAATGGTATGAGATAATCACTAATGTTGAGTTTTGGGAGAGAAACAAACAAGTTCCAGTGGACCAGAAGGTGAAGAAAAGATGTTGGCATTGGATAGGACACACATTGCAAAAAACTTGAGAACAATAAAACTAGAATGTCTTTGCACTGGAACCACAACAGCACAGAAGAGCTAGAGAGTGAAGTTAAAAAGCTGGGGGGGGGGGGAGAGGGGTATGGGGATGGCTGCATGCAATAGCAAGGGATAGAATGACTTGTCGCGAGTTGGCTGGGGGCCTATGCTCCACTCGCGGATAGAAAGTAGAAGAAGAAGTATAGTATAATGGTGTCATACTTCTCTCATAGACTTTAGTAATCGGGATCATAGTATGAGTCACTGAATGCATATTTTTTTACTGACAAAGGATTGTAGTTATTTAATTCTTTGAACCATTCATTTTTACTTATTACTCACATTCATAATTTTTTTTTTCTTAATGCAAAATGCACACAAATAAATTTGTTTTTATTAATTAGGGACCTTGCGTTTTTGTATGGGGGGGGGGGGGGGGAATTCTTAGGTTTGTGTCTTTTTTCTACAAAGGGTAAAGTTACTGCTGGAAGTTACCAGAAGATCTGGCCGACGCTCGACATTCAGGGGAGCGGTGAGACGGATATACGATCAAATAGCCACTGGTACCATCGGGACTGGAACTCTTCGCTAGCGGCTGAAGATAGGAACAGGGCGCTTATGGAGGTGTCCCGAGTGCTATGATGCGGATTCTAATTCAACATTCGGGGTTAAGTTAATGTCAATTACTGTCTTCTTTTCAAGTGAAGCTTACTTGCATTTAATTTCTAATTAAATCACTAATACATATTTTAATCATCGTTTAAAATTGTACAGAACCTCTTTTAAGAATGGGTGGTCAAATAGATTTCGCAGTAACTTCTCAGCATGAAGAGTGCTTCCTTTATGTTGATGTGACAAAGCCTTGTTGTATGCAGCAAATGCCTCAGCCTCCTAGGAAATGTAAACATTAAAACTGCATTAGTATTATTATTAGTAAAGTAAAGTTAAGATTCCTTTTCCCACCTTTAGGCGCATCAGGCATATGGGAAGAGCACCCATATTTTTACAGACCAATCGGCACTAGGTGGATAATGTGGTTAGCCTTACGCCAGCCTTCTTTACTTCCCAAGGACAGCCATCTTGGTACCCATTTTAGGCTAGGTCGACCTGCGACACCCGTACCATGATAAAAATCCATGCAGCTAGCGGTGGGTTTTGATCGTGGTACGTTGGAATTACTGGCAGCGCCTAAGCCATAGAAGCGTATTATGATTACTGCTATAATATAAATATTGGAACCTTTCTATCTTTCTAAACGATTATTATTATAGTGCACCCAGGCCAGGGCTTTTCTTCTAGAACAAAAAAAAAGGTTCCAGTATTCACCAAAAAGTGTCTTTTTAACATAACCCCTGACCCATTAGGGTCGTGGAGGTGTACTGATGGAAGCACTAGCGCATAAAACCTGCCATCTTTCTCTGTCTTCTTGATGAATAAGTGTATGATAACTTAGTCCTGTCCATTTCTCGATGCCATTCCAGGTTCTTCTTTGCCCTCCTCTTCTTCAACTACCCCCAAAGGTTCCTTGAAGTAAAGACTTTGCAGTCGAATCATGTCCCACCACGTGCCCAAACCAAGATAGCTTGCAAGTTCCACCACTGCCAATAGACTCTTTTGATGTCCTGCAAATTTGTATATTTTGTCTCTGACATATTTATAAGTATTATATATATATACACACATACAAATCAAAGACACATGTGTAAAATATCATAATATGCAGATGTTACAGAGCTGTCAACAACTGCCAGCTGATTTGTTGTGAAAATGTGAAGATGTTATTTAATAGCTCACTGACTTGAACTAAGCTGACTGGTTTTGCTGGCTTGACCTCTCGGGCAAACTTACTGCCAAATTCAGGTCCCCCACTAGTATGTGTTCCAGGCAACAACTTTGTTCTCAGTCATGCGGACAAGGGCTGACCTCCAGTGACACAGGCAACGGCTTTGCCCCCCCCCCCAATAATGCATGCGATTCCAGGCTACCTACACACCTTGTACTGGGTCTGTCTGATATGCACACTTGCCAGATGGTTAACTCATTAATGTTAAGACTTACAGGTAACAGCCCCCACCCAACAGTAACATATAACTCTGAATACAGGTTTACCGCCAAAGACCATACACTGTATTCAGACCCTAACAACATGAAATGGTTTGCATCACGAGATATGATTAACACAATACTACAGTCCTCCTTCCTTCTGCCACATGTACACATTCAAAATGCTGAACTTGCAGGACTCCTCCTGTCACAACAATGTTCCATGGCTGCTACCAGCTATCAGTTCCTGATAGTGCAGATCCACCTTTGTGATTAACGTAACTGTCACTCTGACAACTCTCTAGACTTTAGAGATGTTGTCATTAGAGAACATCCAGGTCGATGCAACTAAACAATATCAATCATTCACTGTCTCACAAAATTTACAAAACAACTACTGACAAATTATACCTTCGCCTCTTTGGTCTTTGTCAGTTCTATTTTCTGTGAATCATCCTCAGAACAAGAGGAATCATTAAGGGCTGATATTCGCAGCTGAAAGAAAGGAAAAAGCACCTGTCAGAAATCATAACAATTCCAAAAACAAATGCCCCGGGAGAAAGAATCATTTTTATTTCAAGGATACTGGGAGTATTTATGTTCTACTATTTGAGTCTGTGGCATGGGCATTTTGAATTGGTGTCATAAATACTCAGTTCTACTTTAGCTGTTTATTTCAACAATGGTTTGGAGTGCCAACCACTCACAAAAGCAATGGCAAACTACTGAATGCAAAAGTGACAACATCTATTATTTTCTGATTGCTTTGTAGTGGAGCTTATGGTAAACCATAGTAGAACTATTTAAAGTAACTTATTTTTCATTTCTTTTATTTATAGAAAAACAAAAATGCAGCTATATATTTCATTTAACACTTATTACTTGTCTGTATCAATACTTTAGCAGAGGGGGTTATTCAACTAAGTTTATTCAGGAGCCTGAATGTTGAAAATTGGAATCGTCACTGGCCAGAATAGAAAGACCATTAGTACAATACAACCAGCAAAGATTTGCAGGCCACTTGTCAAGCCTCCGTGGACCAGATTTGGCCCATGGACCGCTAGCTGAATAGCCCTGTCCTAGCATGTCAGTCCGACCCATTCGTGTTCTGTCCTCTGATGCAGCAGCCATATCAGTGTCTTTGGTAATCTTGGTAATCTTAGTTTCAGCTTCATAGCAAACGAGTCACCCCATAGTTGCTCCACTCCTGTGCCAATGAAAAACACACAGAATGTTTATCATAGTCCCTTGTGGAGAGATTGACAGACTGCTGTCTCAGCAAATCTAGCATACACATGCATTAAAGCATACGGTAGCCATCGGAAGTGCTAATACAAACAGTTTTACATTAGAAATGCAATTCATTATCGACGGTAGCAGAAGTTACCAACAGATCAGCACACGCGATCAATATTAATCACATAAGGGCACCACCAATATTGTGGCGACAGACTACGCGCCATTTTATGAATCTATAGTTCACAACACAACACCATGTTGGTTGCAGTAGAAAAACATTCCAAATGAAATCCGCAGCTCACAGGGTCGCGCCATGCACTCAACTCAGTAGCTGGCGCGACGAAGCTATATCCTTTCAGTCTACACAAATGGATCAAAAATGCAACAGCCACCATCTGGCAGAAGCAAAAACATTTGCCCCGACGTGAATCAGTGTCTTTATTCTCATCGTACGACCAGGTCGCCCTCTGGCTGGCGGTAGACGATTTCATCACCGAGCAGGACAGTATTTGGGTCTGCCCCTTCTGATCGCATCAACACTGCAGGAGTCCTTTTCAGAGCTCTTAGTGGCTAAAAGTGCTAAGCCATTTTATATGGCGCACATAACCCAGTAACAATTATAACCTAAAGCTCCCGCTTCGGGGTTGCTGGTTAAACATGACGATTTCTTTCCCAGCAAAGCACCAGGCAAGCACCATGTCTGGTCAGAGTTTATTGGCATATCTCCTTTCTTTGCCCCACAAATAGTTTATACATACTAGATTTTGTTAAATTACAACAGGTGGTTCATCATCGCTTCTTTCAGTCAGCGTGTCTGGATGCATATGTCTTCCTCCATTAACTCTTTGAAGATGGAATGCCACTTAAGTGGTGTTTTGAATCCATCACATTTAGACGGAACCCCATTTAAATGGCTCTTCGTAGAGACATTCTAATGTAATTTGTTCCATTTGCTGAAAAAATGAATTTGTATGACCCTGTTTTGAAAAACTAGAATTAGCCAAACAAAGTCTTTTAGTTTTTGAAGTTTGGCATGGTGTTTGCGTGTCTTTCTGATTTGTTTTAAATTAATTAGATGTGATACAATTCTTATGTGATTCTTCCAGACCAAATGATGAGAGAAAAGGTCTAGAACTGTTCACACTACTCTGTCGTTGATGAATCTCAGCCAGATAGTTACAACAGTCTTGGTATTATCGTTGATAATGCATGTGCCAAACCTATTGCCGATAATTTAGGTTAGGATGAAGACTGAACAAAATATCTCAATCGGATCACCCCTGTTTCAATCAGCTGTTTTCCCAATTTTGGTTGTTGTGAAATCTGACATGTCAAACAAAATGGTCATCATATCCATCTAAAGTAGTTAAATTAATTGTTTCAAATAAAAACTAGCTGATACATAACTGAACAGAGAAGGTGTGTGAATTCTTAAAAATTGATATTTTGTTGTAATACTGAGACTTCAATAATTTAGATTTAATCTGCACTCATTTTTTTCTTTAATTTGATATATATTATATGTCCCTCTACAGCCAATACTTTTTCTTTAGGAACAATTTAGCTTTGTCGTGTTGCAGTAAAAAAAAAAAATTGTGCTCAAAATTAATGCCATCTAAACCCCAGAAAAATGTTGTCCTGAAAAAGTTAACCATTGCAGACATGGTCAGATCAGCTCAGTCACTTCTATTTACCCCGGTGTGACAGCCAAGACAGTTTCTTGATGTGGGGATGTGGGATCGGGGATGCTTTAGACCTACTGACCTATTCTAGGTGCAGTTTGTCAGACTGGATCTTGTTGTAAAGTTAAGCATTCATATTCTACTGGGTCCTTTCCTTTCTCAAATATTAAGGAATATATTTCTCATCATCATCATGATACACCATCATTAACTGTTTAAGGCCCAAGCAAGTGAGTGTTGATTGAGAAGTTCCGATTTGCCTAAACAACACTGTCAGCATCGATCGTGTGTTCTGTACACATTGATTCACACACGGCTTCTTATTCGTTTCTATTGTTCGGAACTACCATTTAAGTATTCAGGGAAGGTTACTCTAACGTTTGTCTTTATATACAGGTCTTCGTTCGTACACATGTAGGCGCAAATTGATCAGATTCATTGTTAGTGTGGCATTTTTCAGACTGCATTTTTTTCTGTTGAACTGGCCATGTTCCGAACACACGCACAGGCCAAAAAAATTTGCCTTTCAATTGTGATAATGTAAAATTTTAATTTTGTCAGAAATTTATTTTGACAGTGAACTTACACCTGCACAGCTGTTCGTTCTGATTAGGTAAATCCAGGAGAACCCATTTCATTTGCGCAGGATGTGATAATCACCCACATTTACATCCAAAGGACTGTTTCAGAAAGTACCATACTCATACTATGGCTAAGCTGCATTGAAATTATTGCAGTACATTCTGTATATAACTACAATGTCAATATTTTGTGTGTATAGAACTACAGGTCAAATTTTCTGCCACTGTGTTTTCTTTAAAATTATGTTCAGCATCTGTGAGAACATAGATCCTCTGAGGGAGAAACTAACCTAGAAACATTCTCATAACTTGTGAATTTGTTAGGAAACTAAACAAACCTTAAAGTTTTATTCTCAAATGTGGATATTCACTGCTCTTGTAGCTGCAAAACTATGGGATTTGTTTTGTGGTGGGGGGGGGGGGGGGGGGGGGGGGGGGGGGGGGGGTGGGGGGGGGGGGGGGGGGGGGGGGGGTGGGTGGGGGGGGGGGGGGGGTGTTAAATTTTGTCTTTGTAAACATAACACTTGCTGAATTCTTTGTTCCTACTAATTACAACAATATTAAACAAACCTATATCAGATTCAAAATGTATTCATTCCTCTTTTTTAAAATGTATACTTCTGTAGGGATTAGAAATATATTACATTCTCAAATGCTGTTAATTTAACACTCCCCCCCCCCCTCTTTCTGCCATTTTTGTAAAGGGAAATTCTATTCTGTTGTAATTGTTTCAACATCATGGATGGAATCCTGTTCAGCATTCTTGGTCTCTTAAGTGAATTCATTCTATTTGATTTGCCATTTTAGTGTCTGCTAAGTCAGGAACACAGTATATTAGAATACATTTTATATTTCTCTAACCATCTGTGAGATGAGATTATGTAGAAAGGCTGTGAATAAAACCAGAAGAGATAAAGTGAGAAACGACGCGATCAAAAGAACTGTTGGAACAACACCCATCGTCAAATTTATTGAGAAACAAAGAATGAAATGGTTTGGCCATCCAATGTGAATTAAACCAACGATGCCACCAACAAGAGCGTACAACCTGAAAATCGAAACATCAAGAGGCAGGGGAAGACCCAGAATAATATGGATTGAAGGTGTCACTGACATTGTGCTTGGGACTGCATAACATCACGGCATATCAAGCTACTGGGTGCGCCCTGGCTCAGCTGCCAATCGTTTTATGAACTGCGACGCCAAGCGGCATAAGCTAGCGACTACAGTTTCGACAATTTGCGGTCTTTTTGGCAATTTCCGTTACCATGGAAACCGTTTGAAACTTGTTTGGGAAATGTCGGCTGGGGTTTCGGGATGGGTCCTAATCTCTCATGAAATTTTGCGATTGGTGTGATTTTCACCAGCTTTGAATAGCCGAAAACGGCGGGAACGAACCCGATTAACAGCGCATGTCTATGACAGCCAGACGTCCTGTTTTTCTGTTACATCGGTTTGATTGAAAATAGCGCTAAGTATTCACGGTTGGCTTTAAGGCCTTAAACATTACCAGACATGGTAATGCTAGTTATAATTGAATTCTCCGTCCAATTTTACATTTGTGTATAAAATTTCTTTCTTATCTGTGGCTGTTTCATTTTACAGTGACATTTTTCATGCAATCGCTATTATGTGGCTGTGTCTGAGAAAAATTGTCTGCCATCTTGTCCAATGAAAACAAAGCCAAAACGAAAGTTGCGCAGTTTGGTTGCGCAGAGAAAACCTTGTTTCTCAGACACAAGTTTTAGCAGCTGTTTTTTACATCTCATCTCCACAAAAACCTACATATCTCAGCTCAGAAATGACATACAAGGCTAAAACTAAATGAGGTACCATTGGAAAGAGATTGTTTACAGCTATCTAACTGTGCTGGTTTTATTGGTGTTTAGGGCATTTTAAAAAATTTGACTAAAGTACCTACATAAGCAGATATTGACAAAAGAAAGAAGAAGTTATAACTTATTATATTACTACTACTACACTTAGTAGTAGTAATACTAGATAGTGGTTAGGCTAGTTGAAAATGAAAATGAACATAAAATTAAAATTTAATGTATAACCTTGACAAATTCGTCAATATAAACCCACCATGATAGCAGTCGGGTTTTACAATTGTAACATTAACAATAAAACATAATTATTAATGTTCACGGCATTTTTCCACCGTTTGAGCGGTAGCAATATTCCTAATTTCGTACACTGTGTTAGCAGGAAGTTGTCATTTTTTACACAACCGGTGTAGAGAGAAAATGACGTTCAATCCAGTGAAATTAGAATTCCACTATGAACACAAAAAGGGAGCTTTCGATTTTTAGAAAAGGTCCCTCTTCGCCGAATGTTTTGGTCCCTTTGCCTTTCAAACTCTCTTTGCGTGTTGTTCTCCTGTTGTCCATCTGAATCTTGTCGATCTCTCTCTCTCTCTCTCTATATAAATATATGTGTGTGTGTGTGTGTGTATGTATGTATGTATGTATGTATGTATGTATGTATGTATGTATGTATGTATGTATGTATGTATGTATGTATGTATGTATGTATGTATGTATGTATGTATGTATGTATGTATGTATGTATGTATGTATGTATGTATGTATGTATGTATGTATGTATGTATGTATGTATGTATGTATGTATGTATGTATGTATGTATGTATGTATGTATGTATGTATGTATGTATGTATGTATGTATGTATGTATGTATGTATGTATGTATGTATGTATGTATGTATGTATGTATGTATGTATGTATATACATACATATATATATATATATATATATATATATATATAGAGAGAGAGAGAGAGAGAGAGAGAGATTGGTTTAAAATAGAAATAGTTAAGAAATGATAACTTTAAAATTATATTTTAAGGTCTCTCAGTTAACAGTGTCTGCTATCAACTTCCCCAACCCCCCAATCATATCATCCTCGCCGAAGGATGGGAAAGTCATCATCTGACGAAATATTGTAACTGAACTAAGCTTTGCATCCGTGTCCACCCAGAGACCGATGGATAGCATTAATGTGTAATGAGAAGTAAAAGTGGCCAGTGTAACAGATACCACATCACCCATCCAGTACCAGTACTACTGTTACCACTACCACCACTACCTTCAGAACAAAAACAAAAAACAGTCACTACTGTCTGTGCAGGTCGGTGTAGCCAGAGGGGTTAGCGCTGCATGATGTCGTCACAGACTGTTTAGTGTAATTGAGCTTCCAACAAAGAAAAAAGAAAAAAAACTCCAGAACCCACAGTAATAGTCCGTTCTATACTCACAAATAGCGGAAATAAAAAACCCCACCCGTCATCTCCCCTCTCCGAAGGGACGAATGTTAAATGACCTTGGCATCCGTGTCCACCCAAACTGGAGTGTAAGCAGTCTTAGTCAGCTTCTGTCATCTACGAATAGTTTATTATCGAGTGAAGCCTCGCGGGGAGGATAAATGGGACTTTACTGAAATCTGATGTCTTTGGGCGAAAGGTGCAGATATCGCAGCCTAGCTGTAAATCACAACACAACATGTTATCAGCCATCTTGAGGGAAAAGGAAAAATTAGCACCCAGTGGATAATTGAACACCGGTCAACCACGTGAAGGGCGGAATACGTACAAATATACTACCTAAGACTGAAGAGTTTGGGTCCGATATCGCAGCCTAGCTGTAAACCACAATACAACGTTCCAACCACCCTCTCAAAGGCGAACGAAGATTATCCGTGACATGACCAACATCTTGTCACCGCTATCGCAGGCTAGCTGTAAACCCCCAAATCGAGCGGAAAGAAGACGTAGATATCGCAGCCTAGCTGTGAACCACAACATATATCGCGGATCAACATATATATATGACAAAATAACCAACATTGATTGCTTGAAAATAGCTAATGACAGTAGAAAGATATATATACATCAATGAGAAGGCTATAAACATAGTTGTTCGTTGGCACAGGAGCGGAGCAAAGATGGGGTGACTCGTTTGCTATGACGTTGAAATTAAAATTACCAGATTACCAGATTATAAACATAGTTCTTTGTTCATGTGACGAGAAAAGGATCACTGGAAAATATCGTGACGACTGGAAAGATCACTAGTAGAAGAGATATAAAACCGAACGAAAAGTATATTAGCAAGCTTCACAATATAACAAATACAAACAAAAAGTAAACGTTGCGGCTATTAAGCCTTCATCGGCACATACAAATTAAACAATAATACACAAAATCACTTAGCTGGTATCTCGAAGTAGCTGGGTCGGTTGTCTCTCATTGGTAGAAGAGGCAGACCAAGATAAATTATAGTGGATGGTTTAAGACAGTAGCATGAAGGAAGATCATCAGTGAAATTGATCCAGAACACCAAAACCGAGATATGTGGAGATGCATGAACGTCGGCTGACAAGGTACTTGATGATATATATATATATATATATATATATATATATATATATATATATATATATATATATATATATATATATATATATATATATATATATATATGATGATTTTTATTCAGCGGATCAACATGGCACATGAAGTGGCTATCCTCCGAATAACGGGCACTAAATACCCTTTCGAGCTGCAGTCACGTGACTTAATTTGCGGTTTTCCCAGACGCCGCTCACGCGGTGTGAACTGGGGCTAAACTAGATGGCTAGGACCCACGAGCAAAGCTGCAGGAGATGCGGAAGCTGCTGCTCGTGGGTCCTAGCCATCTAGTTTAGCCCCAGTCCACGCCGCGTGAGCGGCGACTAGGACTCGAGGCGGTGGCGGTAGTCGCCGGAAAACCCCCGGAACACCGCAAATTAAGTCGCCGGAAGTGCGCAATTGACACGTGACTGCGGCTCGAAAGGATATTTTGCGACCGCCATCTTTAGTGCCCGTTATTCGGAGGATAGCCGAAGTGTTTTACTTCTAACTCAAGACTGAGTCTGAAAATTATCAGCGTAGTGTACGAACTTCCGTTGCAAAAGGCCAGGATCCTGTAATACTTTGGATAGATTTTTAACTCCAAATTTGCCCGGACAGCGCCGTTAGGCTACTCTTCTAGATTTGCAACTGCCAAGGGATTTTTTTTTACGTGCGCAAGAATGCACACAAGCGTCTGATCTTACTACCCAGAAACCAGGGGACATTCCTTAAGTCTGTGTGAAAAATCGCAGCCTTCACCGGGGCTTGAACCCAGGACCTCAGGCATATATAGATATTTTTGTATGCGTGTGCGCGCGCGTGGGGGTGCATGTTAAGCTATAAGTGTCCTTTACAGGAGGTTGCAGAACCATCTCCAGCATTTTTGACTGTTTGTAATGTAACCCGGCAATTTTACGTTCAGTGATTTGCAATTTCATGCATCTTCCCCGGGGTAACTTAATGGGTGTGAGCGTTGAACATCAAGGAGAACAGGTTCATAAACGGCATCATCTCCCGAAAGCTGAGGTATTTTGGACATTTCAAGCGCTATGGTGGTCTGAAGAGAACAGTGATGGAGGATGCAGTTTCCTGAAAACAAGGCAGAGGCCGGCCTTAGCGGAGGTGGATACTGGTACTGGAGATGTACTGGCCACGGCCGGCTCCAGCTGACGGGCCGTGCTGCTGACGTCACCTGGTCAGGCTAACGATGTGTTAACGCAGCGGTTCTGAAACAAGATATAGATTATTTTCGACAGTGGCGAGGGAAGACAACTTGAATATTACATTTTAAGTATCGACATGCCTTCTTTAATAATTTCACAATTTTTAGCCGACTTTTCTTGATTATTGCCGCGCCACCCCTCGGGGTGCCTCGGCACCCAGTTTAAAAACCGCTGCCTGACCCGGTGACGTCAGCAGCACGTCCTGTCAGCTGGAGCCGGTCGTGTATTGGCTATGAAATGGCACAGGTGCTGGAGAAATGGCTAGAGAAAGAGAGGCGTTCTGGCATGCTGTGAAGAGAGTGACATTCTGTAAAGGACTTGGCTATTGATTGTTTATTGACTGATTGATTTTACCACTGCTTTCTTAACGGTTCGAAACCATCACAAGGTGGTCTGCTGCCAAATCGCCCGCAGCTGGGATCGAAGCTGGCACCTTGACATTACGAAGCGCGTTTGCAACGCCTAAGCCACAAACGCCGACACTTGTATATATCCAGAGCTGTATTTAGGCGTGTACAACATGTGCAGCTGCACAGGGCGAAACAATTCTGAGGGCAGTTAAACATAGCTAGAAGTAATAAAACTGATTGGTATTCAGGTGGACTCGAAAGGAAAAATAGAAGTAATAATACTGACTAGTATTGAGTTAAACTCGTGGGGAAAAAAAATACTTGTTGAATATTCTTCACCATGTTATATTACTTTTTTTTTCCAGCAGTAATACTAATAACGTGTATCTGTTCTTTTAGAAAAGTATTAGTTAGGCCCAACTGAGGAAACGACTGGTACCTCGCCACGTAATATTTATAAAGACAACTGTGGATGCAAATATCCATTGTAGTCAACATGCATTTTGGAGGCGACACCCACAATTATTTAGTGTTACTTAATACGTGGACACACTGACTTATTTGAGACGTACATTATTTTCCTCAATATTACAGTATCTAGAAATATCGTCGTCATAATCATCTTATAATAATCGTCAACGCCATCATCTTTGACCTGTTGTAGTTAGTTATGCGTTCCTTAGGCCTTGCTGTGTAGTCGCCTGTTCCGTTTCCGCTCATGCAGTCTTATAATATCATGGATACATTTCCAGCTAGCGGATAGTAACGAATCTCTGACTTTGACATTTTATATATTGAAGAAGGAATCTGAGCACCGATGGAAGTGTTTGGAGATAACCCAAATCATAACTCATCTCGATCGACACCCGAAGCGGTAAAAGAGGAAGTGAAGAAGAAGAAGAAGAAAAAGAAGAAGAAGAAGAAGAAGAAGAAGAAGAAAGAGAAGGAGAAGTAGAAGACGTTGATAAGTGGTTGGCTTCACATTTCTCTAACTTCTTCGCTATTCTTGAATTCATTATATTCAAAGTTCATTATATGCGAATGTATATTTCTACGAAGTGCAGTATGACCAGGGGAGCTAAGTATAAAAAACAAAACTAACTT